AGGAGATAACTTTTGAACTATTTATTGTACCTTCTCAATTCAGCTTTTGGTCTTCTGGTCCTTGGGAATTACTTTTGAAGAGGGGTGCGATATCTCTTACCTCTAATCTGAAGATAAGCCCTATCTCTTGGAAGCCAAATTGGGAGGGGGATGTAGGGGGCATTAGGGAAGCTGTAGCTGTACCTTTCTCAGCCGGGTCTTTAGCAGCTGGAGCTTTTACTGCATTGGCAGTGGTGCTTTGGAGGTATGCTTTGTTTTTAATTTTAGAGCATCTGTAAATGGATGCAGTTGAAAATCTAAGTGAACCTGAAGCTTAGCTAGTCTGCCCATAGCAGTCAGGTTGAAGCCCACTGTTAAAGGCTGGCACTGGTCACACTTTTTAAGTCTGGAAGACTACTGAATAAGTAGCAGCATTCATGCACTCCTTGAGTTGAGCAGCCTTATTCACTTGAAAAGTTGGTGTGAAATTCAGTAGGCTGGTACCACCAGAGTTCAATGGCAAGCCTTCCCGCACCTCCCCTGGCATGCAGGCCGGTGTGGATGAAGTTAGTGTGTACTTTGTGCTGGATGGGTGGCTCGGCAGCCCAGATAGTCATATAAAGAATATTCTGTTGTTCTTCTGCTATTAACTTCGCAATTTGTGTAATTTAAGAGCTTCATGTCGCCAGGACTGGCATTACTGAGCACACCTTTGTTGTTAGAGGAGAGTTGTCTCCAGTTCTGTTTGTGTTAAAGTATCCTGGGAAGAGGGCAGGCCTGCTTTGGCTACCCCCTCCCCAGTTCAGATAAAAGCAAAGAGGAGATTGGAGAAGCAAACATCCCCCCCCCCCCCAGGCCTATCTCTGTGAAGGAAATTAGGCTGACCTAGCACAGGAGTGGTGCTGGGCTGGGTTTTATCTCTGCTTTCGGGGTTGCCGAGGCCATTTCAGAAGTCCTTGTGCTCAGACTCCCCTGCACCCACGGTCTGTTCAGGATCTCAGGTCTGAGTGGCAGGGGCCCACAGGCCCATGGAGATGGAGGCTGCAGAGGAAGCAAGTAAGAGGTCACAGAAAAGTGTGTGCCACACCTTGGGTGTGAGGTTCTGTAGGGAACATGGCCAAACGCCAAGGTTCCTGTGTCTCACGGACTACAAATGCATCCAGTGAAAAGTGCTCCCAACTAGTAGGAAATTGGAAGTCAAGCTGTGATTAATGAATTTGCTTGTTCCTTAATCTAACCTGAATTCTCCAGTGTGACTCCCTTCTCTTTACGGCAGTAGTCACACTGGTTCCACGCGAGTCTCGGGGTGTGTTTTCTAGAAGGGGCGCAGGGGTGCTCTGAGCAGCCCTCCTGCCCTGCCTCGCCTCTCTCCCTGCCTGAAGTGCTGGATGAGGTGAGGAGGAGCACGTGCCCTCTTGCATTAGTGCTAGTGTTGTGCCATCCATAAGTGTAGTGTTTGGAAAATAACACTGTCATGAGCATTAAGCCAGACTTTCCGGAGGAAAAGTTGGCTGATGCCAAGTATTGATGTTCGTCATCCCTGTTTTTAAGCAGTTATAGATGGAAATACTTATCCTCTGTGGGGGTGCTCAGGAGTTGGTGTTAGGGAAGGGCAGAGGTGGAGTTGAGAAAAGCATCCAGACCAGAGGAGATGAATGGCCGTGGCCCACGAGGCACAGTGCACCACGAGGCACAGTGCACCACTGTCTGAACCACGCGTGGACTGGCCAAGAAAGACTGACAGCTGAGGAGCCGCACCTGGAGGCGACGCACACCCTCGCGCACGGCAGCTGGGTGCCCGAGTGAGGCAGCGGCTTTGGAAACTCGTCGGGCTCTGTGTGGCGGTAGCTGTGCGGGGTTGACAGTTGATGTCCATACAGAAAGAAACCTGTGGACACGTTTGAGAACCGCAGGCGGTAGAGCAGGGTCAGCGGGGCTGAGGGAGGAGTGGGGGGAGCTGCCCACGGCACAGGCGTGGCTCATGGAGGGGTAAAAGTTGTGGAGTGGGATGGTGCGGGGGGGCTGCGCAGATGTGTCGACCTAGGAAGAGCTCCGGAACATGACGGACTCCCTCACCCCAGAGGACCCCAGTTGTGGTGCTATGACTTAGGTACGTAGTCTAGGTGCATGTTAGGCACCCGCCTATGCATTTTGATAGTCAAGACATGAGTCCTCAGGTTCGGGCCCTGGCGCCCCGTCCGGGTAGATCACACACTCTGGCCTCAACCGTCAGTGCGGGGGTGGCATGTGCCTGCATTGTGGGCCTAATAGCCATGATGGTGAGTCAAGTAGTCATTTGTCCCGAGAAGCCAGCCTTAGAAAATGGTAGATTGTGACAATGAGTTGCTTTTTTTTCTTTTTTTTTTGCCAGTCTTGGGGCTTAAAGTCAGGGCCTGGGCACTATCCCTGAGCTGCTCTGTGCTCAAGGCTAGCACTCTGGAGCCACAGCGCTACTTGTAGCTTTTTCTGTGTATGTGGTACTGAGGAATAGAACCCAGGCTTCGTGCATGCTAGGCGAGCACTCTACCACTGAGCCACCTTCCCATGCTGTGAGTTGAAATTTTGCAGGTCCCTGGTCCCTTGTAGTAAGCAGTGGGCATTCCTTGTTGGTTGTTTGTTTCCCCTGGTACCAGGACTTAACTTGTGATTGCTGAGGTTGCGGGTAGGCTCTCATCTGGTATTGGGCTATGTAGGTGATCCATACCTCTAGCCTGGCTTTTTTGCTGGCTAACTGAAGAGGGAGTCATGCAGACTGTGCTGCCCTGCTGCCTCTGATCCCATAGGCCTCTGTTCTGAGGAGCTCGAGCAGTATTGTAGGTATGAGCCAGAGGTTCACTGTTTTAAAGATGAACAGAAAAGTATTCATTAGGCTCTCGCACTGGTGGCTCATGCCTGTAATCCCAGCTACTCAAGAATGTAGGATCTGGCCGGGCGCTGGTGGCTCACGCCTGTAATCCTAGCTACTCAGGAGGCTGAGATCTGAGGATCGCGCTTCAAAGCCAGCCCGAGCAGGAGAGACCATGAGACTCCTATCTCCAATAAACCACCAGAAAACCGGAAGTGGCGCTGTAGCTCAAGTGGTAGAGCGCTCGCCTTGAGCTG